TTTTTACCAGCTGTTTTATCTTGAGCCAATTTACAAATTTCCTCGGCTGTACCTTAATTTCTTCAGATAATATATTAACCAGTGTTAAAGGTTTGAAGATCAAATAAATTGATATTCATGAAGTAGTTTGAGCAAGGTCTGGCGCCTAATGGCCATCTGATCCTTATTAACGTCATTTGTCTTTTTTTTTTAAGGAATTTGAAGATAGTTAAGGTTATGGAGTTATGGAGTTAAGGTCACAGAGTAGGGCTTTTATCTTCCTGGGCTGGTGTCCTTACGTATCAGCCAGTTCTTACTAGAGAAAGAGAAATAATGCAAGATAAAAAAATACAAAAATTTCCAAGACTGCCCTACAATGACCACCCCCAGAGTCAGGTATGGAAGAGTGCAAAAAGGCTGTCTGTGCATTGGTGACTCGAAGGATCCAGTTGAAGGCCTGAGTTCAGTGTAGTGTCCCATGTGAGTCCATATCAGGAGGCCAAAGGGTTGATGCAGCAGCCTCAGGAGTCTGCACTGAAAGCCAGGAGAGGATGTCCAAGGTAAAAGTGAAGACTGGAGCTCCTCTGAAGAAACAGAAATGATCCTTCCTTCTTTATTTTGCTTTTATACCATTCTGGCAATGATCCTTCCTTGAGTAGGTCTTCCACACCCAGAACTATGCAGAACCAATATACTTGGGCATTTACTCAAAGGGACACAATCAATCAACAACCACACCTTATAAGAAGAAAAGAAATCTGAGCAACCCCAGCCCAACTCCTTCTTGCAAGAAGAGGACATAGCAGGAAGATGGAATTCTATAGCCAGGAAGAGGGTTCAACAGGAAACAACCTTAGGGGCACCTTGATCTTGAGGGGCACCTTGATCTAGTTTCCAGAATTGTGAGAAAATACATTTCTATTCATGCCACCTAGTCTACAGTACTTTTTATGGCAGTCCTAAGAGTTCAATTACAGGTGAGAACTTCAATTTATCCTCTCGGGAGGAGGAAGAAGAGAAATTGAATGGGACTCAAGATTCTTCCAGTTTAGGGAATACATAGAGGTCCTGGGATGCAGTATGCTGAAGACTACAGAGCAGCTGTGTGCAGGGCCCTGCCTGCCACCAGACCTTGCCCTCTTGATCTCTTCTGCTATTCCTAAATTGTAACTTTTGTAGTAAAATAAACAAAAGTGTTTTCCTGAGTTCTAGGAACCATTCTAGCAAATTATTACACCTGAGGATAGGTTCATGGGAATTTCTAGATTTGTAGCCACATTGGACTAAGTATGGGTAGCCTGGGGTCCCAGGACTTGGGACTGCCTCTGAAGAGAGGGCAGACTTTCCAGACAGCCTAGAGCTAGGTCGTATCAGGACAGAATAGAAATATAGGCCACACAGTTTGTATCAAAGGATAAAGAATCAGAGTAGTGTCAGAAAACACACCACTAGCTGTTTAGTATTGGTATTTTGAGTTACAAAGAATCATTAAATTCACAAATTTTGGATCTTATATTGATAGGGAAAACTTTTATAAATAGCAAAACCTATAAAGTGTTACAATGTAAAATGGCTTCTGCTGTCTCTAACAGCAGTTTGCTTTGTCTAGCTCAAAACTAATAGGCACCAAAGGCACTAATTGCTGAATGAGGCATTTGGTCTGACCCTAAGGTAACAGGGCACATCAAGGTCTTGAGCTCCTATGAGACTGGAGCCACCTGATCATAAAATTGTCAAAATAAAAAGGACCATTGCCAACATTCGCTCCTGTGACCCTGAACACCCCTTTCCTATGGGCTAGAATAGATAACTAGGTGAATCTTAAAGGTAAACTCCCCAAATGCAAAGAACTGTTACGTCTGGGTTAAAAGATTAACTATTCTGTGACCATGATTTGAACTGTGAGAATGAAATGTCACCACCCAAATGAAGTCAAGGCTGTAAAACCCTATAAAAAGAGGAGTTGTAACCCTGTGTGTCATCGATCCAGTCATGGCTTATGTGCGATCGACCCTTATCGATTAGTAAATTATTTTACTTCCATTCTGCTGCCTCTCTGTGTGTCACTTACTGATTCCTTCTGTAACAATATTATTTCACATTTATATTTTTAGGTCTTTAATAATATAATAAAAAAGGAGTAGATAACTTTTTATAGTTCAAAATCAAAACATGACCTGCTTTTCATAGGAGAAAATACAGGAAGTAATAAAGCTTCCTGGAAAAAAACACAAAGCAATGACAGATAATTTTATTTAAGATCCTTTTTAGAATGAACACATATAAGATTGTATACAATAGATCAGTAGTTACCCAGAGACCAACAGAGTCATATAAAAATACTTTAAGGCAAGCTTTAGTATTTGAAAAAAAGGCAAATGAAATAGGGGCTCAGTAGTAAGGTTTTCAAGACACTTTTACTGTGTAAAACTAAAAGAAAATTCATTTCAAATTTTAAATTTATTTGACACAATAATAGCCATTAAGTCTGCAAAGTCTTTGGCAAGTTGTTTGGTAGTATCCAAATCCTACAATGTTTTCTCAATGTAAATTTTGGAATATTCTGAATTCTTAATAAGTTCACTTTTCTGTCCCTGGAAACATCAAAATTCTAAGGTATTTCTGCTATTTTAACTTTAAGAAATACAAATGATAAAAGTATTTTTTCTAGGTTAGTATCATTAAAGGTACTAAGGATACCACATACTTTTAATGAAACAAAATATAATCTTTAAAAAGGGAAATCAGTGATTTAAACAAAAGTACAAACTACTATTAGAATCAACCACATAGATTTATATAAGCATATTTATTTTTGCTGAAAAAATGTTAAAGCCCTTTCTCTTTTCTAAAGCATGGGAAATCAATCATGTGCTAGTTTTTCAAGAATTACATATGTTTTGCAATCTTTATTGCAATCTGTTAGTCATGGTTTGCAATGAATTATCATGTTTTATAATCTCTGCAGTAATCTCTTAACTTTTATACTTGCCTATATGTTCATGGGCTATAATAAGCCTTTGAATTTGTGCAGTACCTTCATAAATCTGATAGATCTTGGCATCTCTCATTAGTTTTTCTACTGGATATTCTGAATTAAATCCATAGCCTACAAATATCTGCACGGCATCAGAAGCTAATTGATTTGCGGTATCTCCAGCAAATTCCTTTGCAATAAAGGCATAAAAGGTATTCAGGTGACCAGCATCAACTTCCCAAACTTCTCTCTGGTAACTTAATCTAGCTAGTCCAACTTTCATTGCCATTTCTGCCAGCAAAAATGATACTCCTTGGTGTTCTACAAGTAGCTTTCCAGTAGCCCTTTTCCTTTCCAGGACATCCTTGGTAGCTTCACCCAAAGCTCTTTGTGCTAATCCAACTGTACCAGCTGCTACTGTAGGTCTAGTTCTAT